CGGATGAGGAATGATATAAAAACAGATGTCCCGAATTGGTTGAGATATGATGGTTTTAAGTGGTAAAGAGTGGACTATGTTAGAAATATAATGAAATTTTGATGACCTGACCATAATTACCCCACGTGACTTCATCCCTTTTTATTAACTCTTACTTCAAAGAATAAAAAATAGATTCTATACACTACAAAAGAATTTATTTTCTAGTTTATGGAAAATCGACTTGAAAAATCCTTGAGATTTTAAGGCAGTTATAATATCGTCTACGATATTATACCGAAGTAGAAAATCAACATTCTCTAGAAAGTAGAAAATCGCGTTGAAATTCTGGAAGAAAAATCTGTGTGGATTTTATGAAATGCAAAAAATTCAAATCGATTTTTCGAAAAAAATGCATGCTTTTCTAGAAAATCAATGGATTTTATGGAAAACCGACAGGTTTTTTACAGAAACGAATATTTTCGAAAACAGCTACAAATCAACCGATGAAATCATTTGTCCACGATCGAGGCCAAAGAATGTTGAATTCTTGTATCACAGAGTATCTTTTTCACAAATATCAGGCAGTATAAAGGTAACTTGGCTGAGTTTTGTGACTTTTGTGATATAAATCCTGCTATGGAAAGTTCTCTTGAGTAGTTTTTTTGAGAATATTACGTCCTTTAAAGAATAAATGCTAAGACTGCATGTTTGACATTTTTGTCTTTCAGGTATAAATGATATTCTTACTCTTCGCTGATGTCGGTCTCTTTTATTGTGAATTATCTTTCCACCACATGAGAGCAAAAATATGAGTCGTGTTTCGCTTTTTTGATAGTCTGTGAATGCGACTGTCCATAAGGGAAGTATTAGACAAGAAATTCATACAACCTTGTTTTGTAGTGAATGCTTATGGTTTCAGATCAAAAGCAGACTAGCAAGCTAAGTGAAATGAAGTGTGGAGTTTTGTGGGAAAAACTGTTTTTGCCTGATAACGCAGCGAAAACATCGTTTCTTCGTACTGGTGGTAGCATTGCAGATCTAAATCGTGAAGGGAATCTTGCAGAGTATATAGTTATTCAAAAACGTTTCAGCAAAAATGACGATTACCATGATTTTATGTGCTTCTGTTTAGATATTTTAAAGATAAAATATTAGTAAAATCAGAAGAACAACAACAGGGCTAACTGAACAGTATTGGACTTTTTCTGCATGTTGCATGAGTAGCTAATCGCTTTTGTCTGTGACTTTAAGTGAGAAATTCAGCCTTCCAGATTTGCTTTTTTGTAGAGATTTGATCTCTGTTTGTGTATATTAACATCACGCTATTTAAGTTCAAAAAAAAAGTCCGGCTTATGTGTATCTTTCTTGGAATCAAAAGCGTTTTCTAACATGAGATGACTGTTTTAGCACGTTAGGAAGTAGTCTTTCTTTGGGTGCTATAAGAAGAAGTATAGAGAGTGAGTATAAGCCCCCTTGTTTCTTCTCAAGTCCTTTATGGATGAAAAGAGGCAGTTTATAATCAAAGCAGAAATCGCTAGACATATTCCAAGAAGTAGATTATAATTGGAAAATAATTTCAGAACGAAATCATACGCGATTTTCTATGAGTGCCTATATGCATTCTTAGAAGATATTCTAGTTTTAAAAAAATCACTAGAAAATCTGTATGATTTTTTTTCTGGAAAGTCAGTAGTGATTCCCAGAATATCGACCATGATTTCACAATAGAGACCTGCACGGGTTAAGAACATCTAACCCGAACCCGACTCGACAACAACTTAACCCGAACCCAACCCGATAACATCTGAGCCCGAATCCGACCCGACTCAATGAAAACAATCTCATCAGAAAACTGTGTTTGAGAAAGAGTATAGACTTGCCTTGTTAGACAAAAGTTTCTCAGTGCATATTGAAGAATCTCGTAGTTCAAAAAAAATTTTTGAATGACGTCTGATTGGCCATTTTGTCTAAAAGGTTAATCTATTGAAAATTCCTCAGTACACTTTGTCAACAGATTATCTTAACCGAGATGATGACCACATCCTTTTTCTCATTGGTGAGTCAGTATCACCTAATACTAAGATAGCAAGTAGAGAGCATTATAGTAAATTCTTCTATGTACGAGTGTTTAAAACAGTACATTGAAAAAAAGCAGTAAGGGATGTATTGCCATTGATTTCAGTGCAGGAGGCACTCTCTTATGTGCAAAGAAAGCAATCATTAATCGACCTAGTAAATGCAGTTGTTCTGAAATAAGTCTTTCAACTGGAAATCCAGTAGAGATAACTTTCAACCAGTAATACAAAGCTAAAAATATTATTTATATTTTAAATTGCGTCACCAAATATTCAACCCGAACCCGACCCGATCCGACAGCATCTTAACCCGAATCCGACCCGACCCTAGGGTCGGGTCGGGTTGCAGGTCTCTATTTAACAATATGAGTGTATGGATTTTCTAAAAAATCGATATGCATTGTATGAGAAATCATTCGATCTTTTAGATACAATACGTTTCTATTTTTTTAAAAAATGATGGACAAATCGTCACATTCTTGAAAATCTGACTTTCCAAAAGAAAGGAAAATCCTATAGTAATGCGTGTAGGCACTCGTAGAAAATCACTTTTTTCCTGTAACTAACTTTCTGCTTTACAGTGTATATTTTTTCTCTTATACAAACATCAGAGAGCACCGCTTTACACCATTTTACGATTGATCCGATTTCTCTCTTTGGTCCGATCATTATTTTGACGGTTTCCCTAAGCGACACTTATATTCATTAACAAAAACGCTTACGTACAAAAACACGACATTTACACCTGCGTGTTGACATGTGTACAATTTCTCGCATGATCGAATTACTAATCATTTCTATGGGTATATTTACTTGTCAGGTAGCTATTTTAAAAATCGATTTCTCGCATAAAAATATGAGGGAATAGATCGATACAGAAGTAACTATTTAACACTTTAAACTAATCGTTTACACCAATTTAATGTTAACTTATCATTTTTAGATAAAAATAAATTCGATTACGTAACTGACACACAGAAGTTCAAGGACACAAGTGATGAAAAATTCGAAAGAACATACACCATCATCAAAACTGCCAATACCACCACGAATATCAAAAAAGAAGCCGCCAATACCACCACGAATACCAACAGAAAAGCCCCCAATACCACCTCGAATACCACTAATAGTACCTCCCATACCACCCAGGATACCAACAACAGCACCACTTATACCATCGCGAACATCGACAAAAGTGCCACCCATACCACCCCGAATACCAAAAACAACAGTAGAAGTACCACAGTCTCCGCTAGCAATAACAAAATCTTTAGATATGAGCATAGGAAGAAAACCTCACTTCAGAGATAGTTGAAGTGTCCACCTGAATTTACTTTTAAAATATATTTATCTGGCTACATCTGGTTGCAATCATTTTCTAGCAGAAGGAGCCAATGTATCGAACTAGCGACATCAAATCTAGTCTAGGTTATATGAAATGCTTTTATTATCTCACTACAACTGGATAAATGCACCTTTCACCTAAAACCGCAGGTCTCTAGCTGCGTCTTATCCGAAGTTATTCAACTTACAACCGACTCCATTGTTCATTGAAATGGATAGTAGTTCATTTTTAGTCTTGCGTCGATTTTGTTCGAAATCACTGTAATCGTCGTCACTTGAGTCACTTAATTGGCTGCTTTGTAAGGCGCTCCAAATTCGAAGTTACAGTGAAATTCGCAATCCACTCTTGTTGCATATCCCTAGACGCAGAATTTGAATATATACATTCATTTTCATCGTCATAGACTGTTTCGCTTTTGTATTTAGTTTATTTTTTATTTTTCAATTTTCCTTTACTATACACATATAGATTATATATATGTTCATTTTTGTTCTAGTTTTTTCTCGCCTTATATATATATATAATCTTTTAGTTCGTCAATCCGAGTTGTAGTTGTTAGTCATTCGCATTTCATATTTTTTCAAATATATTCGTATTATCATACTCGATCGCCTTTCATTAGGTATTTCTTTTACTGTGGTCCCTCTTATCTCTTCGTTGAGTGATATTATCCACTAACGTGCCTGGGTAGACCTAGTCTCTAGAGTTTTCCCATTATTTAGACTCATCGAAGGATAGGAGAGCTGACACAACGACTATTTGGAACCTTCAGAGTTAGTTAGTCTGACTCATCGTGAAAAACTGCATCGATATACGTAAGTTTTAAAATTTTCCAATGAATAAAAGTGATCCACAAATCCACACGGATCAATATAATAATGCGTTTTACCTCGACCCAGGAAAAATGCCATCAGATTTTTTCGTAATAGCTACAAACTTAATTCTTTCACCATTCGATTCCTCATGAAATTTGCTACAAACGCACGGATCTTTTCTCGAATTTTTTTCCCTTGCTGAGTTATGAGGTTTTCACCGAAAAAATCCAGTATTTGGCCCAATCGACGTAGCGATTTTCTCGACAACGGCGTTCATGTTTATAGTATACATTGATTTTCTCGTGAATTACTCCGCTTTATATGTCATTCGATAGAGAATTTCACGAGCTTCAAAATGAACTATAAATAGGTCTTTCAAAAAAGCTAAAAACGGATCTTTCAAAAACATGCCGACGTTCGTCAATAGTTGAAATACTTGACCAGTTTAATGATTTTTATCTATCTTAGTGCTTTGAACACTCCGTTAGTCGTCTTTCTGTCATAAAGAAAAATTATGTATTGTTCGAAAACATACCATTGGATAGCCCTTGAAATTCTCTACAAAGTGAGCTGGTCACAATATCCAGACAGGTGGGACCAGTCATTAAAGATATGGAAAAGAAGCTTTTGGGTGTTATCTAAAGCACTATAGTGTGTCAAAATCACAAGAACTCCCTTGTTTTTGCCTTTTTAGTAAAAGCTGAAACCAATCTGAATAATGTTTTGAATAGCCCGAAGATTTTTCTATCAGAGGAGGTGCATATCGCCCCTTTCATAAGAAAAGTTGATAATAGAGCTTCTAGAAAAGCTGACCGCTGGAAAACGAAGTCCTTAGTTTTTGGTCAGAAAATGTTACAAACCATATAGCCTGATAGAGCGAAGAATTCTGAGCTAAATAAGACATCTCCCGGCATTCTGTAGTGCTTTTACGCCCGAATATTTTGGTAACTTTCACGCCCCTTGTGGCTAGTCGTAAATCGACTGCAGTTACGTGAAAAAAGCACTACAGAATGCCGGGAGATGTCTTATTTAGCTCAGAATTCTTCGCTCTATCAGGCTATATGGTTTGTAACATTTTCTGACCAAAAACTAAGGACTTCGTTTTCCAGCGGTCAGCTTTTCTAGAAGCTCTATTATCAACTTTTCTTATGAAAGGGGCGATATGCACCTCCTCTGATAGAAAAATCTTCGGGCTATTCAGGTAAATAGTGGAAGTAAACACTGATGGAAACTCGTTAATCACAACATCCGTAGAACTTGTACATTATCCATACCAGTTCTTCAGAACACCAGCTCACAGTTAGTTTACGAGGACAGAGATAAGGCTCATTTGTTGAATGAGCATTTTCCTTCAGTGTGCAGTACGTCTCTTGCAGATTATAATGCTCTCATTCCTTTTAATAATATTCCTGACGTATCTTTTGCTCTCCCACTATTTTTTGTATCTGCTCAACAAACAGAAGACATTCTCTCTCATCTTGATGCTAATAAAGCGACTGCTCTAGGAATTAATAACCGTTTGCTGCCAGCAGTGTTCAAATTTCCGAAAAAGGAAATTTCCCTCATAAATAAAGCAATTTCAGAAATTTCGACAATGCAAAACTAATAAAATGAGACAATACCGAAATTACCATATATTCCAACATACAATACAGATTCATCCATGAACCAGAAACAGAAATTTACCAGACATTACCTAGATTCACCTCAAAACCATATTCCCTAGAAATTTCGGTAATTACCCACTAACGAAAGAGAACATTTCTCATTGATTTCCCAAATTACAAACATTTTCAAAACTGCTTCTAAGTTACTTGCAGTTAAAAAACAATAATTGGAACCTTCTGATCGAAAGGATAACGGTTAACTGGTCGCGCCGCACACAAAACATAAAAATTTTATGTTGAAGAAAGAGAAGATGACTTTCAGTCTTGTTATCGTAATTGTCTCTCTATATGAGTATATCTAATAAATATTTCATACTGAAGAACATCGAGACGTCAAAATAATTGCTATTTGCTCAGTTTTTGGTTTGAATCATGTTGCCTTTTCAACTAAGATTTTTCTTTTTATTTCTATATATATTTGTACAAATACTAAATATTTCTGATAAATATGTGTGCAATAAAATAAAACAAGAAAAAGGAAGAAACAAAATATAATTTTTTCCAACGTTAAAACAACAGCACAACAACAGTATCAGTAGAAACTACAATAAATAAATCGTATATTATCCTCATCAACATCGTTTTTAATGAAAAGGAATGAGCAAAGAGCAAAATGAAAAAAGAAAATCATTAAAAACTTTTGTCATACCATAATCTGTTGTTCTTTTTTGTTTCAATAAAGTTACAGCATACAGAAGCTAAATTCTGTTTTTTTAGAATACACACACCGATTAACTTTAAATAATTTTCGAATGATAGCACCATCGCCAGAACCAGGTAATAAAGAATCAACTGTTGATATACTCTATGATTTATGTCGAGAAAATCAAGTTGAAAAACTTCAAAATTTTCTTACATCAGTAGATAATATTAGCATATTGAATACAATTCAAAATTTAACTGGTTCAACATGTCTGCATGTCGCGTGTTATTATGGGCATAAAGAAGTGGTTCAAGTTTTATTAGACTATGGTGCATTGTCTTCAATTCAAAACAGACATAATTTGACAGCATACGAAGAATCATCTGTTGATGATATAAAACAGTTATTTATTAATAAACGAATATTTTATTCTGAAACAGATTATGACCACATTCAATGGTCAATTACTGGTCATGATTTAATAGAAAAACGTCGAGAATTTCTAGAAACAATTGATTTATATAGAACATACAATAATAGTCATCCAATTATATCGAAATTATTAGCAGAAGTAATTCATTATTATTTAAATGAACATTTGAAGAACATGTCTCCTACCGGTAATTCTGAAGATCGAATTACCGAAGAACAGATTAAAGTTATTGAAGATTATTTTCGTAAAGCCATAGATGAAAAAGATTATATGAAATATTTCATAAAAGCTTACACATTAACAGATTATTTTCATAGAATATTAAATAAACATTTAGCTTTATATATTCTACAATATTTTGATCAAACCAAAGATTTCTGTTCAAATTATCGTCTAGTAAATTGTCTCGTGCATATTGTTACTCTATTAAAATTTCATCCAGACATCGGTAGATATCAATAGGTGTATGCTATCGAGGAATGCGAATAACAGAAAATGATTTGAATCCATATCAATTAAATCAACATATATTAAATCGATCATTTTTATCTTCATCAATTGATTATAGAGTTGCCAAAATGTTTGCTGGTGAAGGTGAACAGCCTCAAATGCGACATACTTCTGATCAACGTCCATTACAATTTTCATGTTTATGTCAGTATAATATTGTACAAAATTCAACAGCTATCAATGTACAAGACTTATCAATGAGACCGGATGAAAAAGAAATTCTCATTCTACCATTTGCTGTTTTCAAAGTGGTGAATCTCAAACGAAATTATATTGATCATTCACAAGCAGCAATTTCAGTTGAAATTGAATTAGAAGAATGTGAAGATACAGGTAACAACAATAAAAAATATCCGAAAAAAGCTTATATTGACCTTTTCTTACTTCTACAATTTTTAAGAGCATAAAAAGTTCATTTATTTCAGGACCAGTAAATACTTTAACCTGCAATGGCGGAACAGAGAATCTTTCCATAAGCTCTATGTTTTTAAAATTGTTAAAAACATTAATTATGTATAGACGAGAGAGCGTAAAGTGAACAGCAGTTCTAGAAATTTTCTCCGATTTTCCATAAATTCACTCAGTAGATTAATTGACTACTTGAAAACTCAATATAGCTGGATCTATGCAATTAGGCAAAATTCAACTGATTCCAGAAAGTTTTGGGATTTCAACCACCCTTTATTGAAAATGTTTTCTACTTCTACTTCTGTAAATCATTTTTTGAAAAGAAAATGAATTTTGATTCCAAGGGGTTGTATTTAGCGGCGGAGACAAAATTTTGGACTATGGGACTCGACCCACAATCATTTTCATATTAACTGTTTCTCTTCCGAAAAAATCTTTTTTGTGCATAGAAACCGGAAAAAAAAGAAAACGTTATCAGCTTCCAAGGGCATCTTATGCATCTCATCTGAGCTATAGAGTGAGAATGAAAAAATGTTTCGTTTTTGTATTTTAGATGGAGACTTCGAGTCGACTTTACTTGATAATACCACTAAACCTGTAGAAGAATATAAAAAAAAATATAAAAAGCGAAAAGGTCTTTATATCTTTATTGCAGTTTTATTATCAATCATTGTTTTGGCTTTAACACTAGCACTAATATTTGTATTTGTAATTAGAAAAAAATATTTACAAAATGACGAAGATCCATATGATTCACCAAAAAGTAAGCTTTAAAGACCATCTTAAGAAGTAGAAGTGTTTACTTTGTTCTTCAATGAAACGAGTCTTGCGATAATATTACACTCTGCGTATTGTCCATCCAAAACAAGAATGGTATATGGATCTTTTTGAATAACTTTTGAATGGTCGAAATCAGAGAGCTGAGTTTTTCATGTAATATTATGTTCATGGAGTATTTTTGCAGCTTTGACAAGGGTTGTCTAGATTTGGATACCATTTCTATTTAAAAGCTAGTAAACAGTTCTTAGAGATTACTTATTTGATAGTCCTAAACAAGAGTAATGAATTGATTTCTGTAGAATATTACTACGTTTCGTTAGGTTTTCGGGGAATGATTCTCAATTAAAAGTCACTGGACATATTTTTTGCCTGAAAAAAGTTATTAGTTATTTTTGGCATGTTTTGCTCAAGATTAGCTGATTTTTTTACCACTATAGACCATCAAACATTCGATCTTCTGCAAAAATTTCAAGCAAAAATATTAAATATTAAACGAAATATGTTGGAAACAGTTTTCAAACAGTCATTGTATAAAGTGTGAAAAGAACATAAATTTAATTTTCACTAAATAGAAACATCAGGCCAACATTAAAATGTTCAGATATGAACGAGGAAATACAAAGCGACGTCTATTAGATAGAAAACAATCGATGTCACTGTAAAACCAGCTGAAACCGATGTTAAGCAATACAAAAAATATAACAGAGAAAGACATAAAATTAAGTCGTTTTTCTTCCCTATCAAAACATATATGGATATGGATACTTACTCGCTGGTATTTTGTAATTTGAATTTTTGAAGTTCGTTTCAGATATTCTTTGAAGATCTAGATAGTCAATCAAATGTAATAATCAAATGTGTCAAGTATCTCCTGTTATGGGTAATAGAAAATTGTTAAGTAATATTTTGACTGAACTTTCTTTTTGAGAAAATCATATCTTCGCAAAGAAGTATATCTAAACAACTACCATGATAGAGACAAATATTACCATTGCAACGTTAGGATTCTTAAGTCAAAATAGGAAAAGGAATGGAAGATATATTTTAGCATAGTTGCAGAAGTGCAAAAGATTTATTTCATTAAACCACTAGCATCTTAAATGAAAAGAATATAGAATGTGAATCCAGATTTTACTAATTCTTTTTCGTTTCGTTCCAACAAAAAAGAACGAGTAAAATCGATTCACATTCTACATTCTTCCCATTTACGATGCTGGAAATCTATTATCTGTATTTATGTAGACTGTTCAAATATTTTAAATCGAAATGTATGGAATGCGGTTAAGTCAATATCCCGTTACGATTTACCTATACCAGTTTCATATATTGTCGTACATGAATTAACTGATTTATTAAATAATAAAAGTGTGACACAACAAGATTGTGCACGATATATAAATGCACTTCAGAATTATTATATGAATCAAAAAGGTTATGATGATATTGTATATAATTTTATTATTTGTGGTGATGACGAAAATGATAACACTAGTCAACAACAAATTTATACTGGAAGAGGATGGAAAAGTTTAGGAGCACATTGTATTACATACAATAGTAAATCATTAGGTTAGTGAGAAAAATCTTGTCAGAAATAATACTTACGACTAAAATGTGAAATGGCTCCCATACATATATTTCCCCTTGAAGACAAAAGAATTTGAATCAGTACTCCCGTAGAAGATTGATACTGGAAACTAAATTCATTTTTCCTACGTTTCATAGAGTGTCGGCGGGAAACAGAGGAGATTTTTTCGAATTTTTTCTATGATTTCTTTTTATATCAACTGTCATTTTTGTTTTTCGAAGAAAAACGAGAGGAAGAATTTCACCGACAAGAATATTGTCTAGCCTTTAATCGACTTCTTTTGTTTTTCTGTTACATTTATTCAGGTATTGCTATAGCTTCTAATTATACGAATGAGAAATCTCTGAATACATTTGAATCATTAATGGAATGTGGTATAACAAATAAATTCATCGAACAAAATTATACACTCGTAGGACATGCTGATACTCCAAATATTTATAAATTTTATTTGAATTATTTCAAGAATAATACACAAACACAACATATTTGCCAATCAGGTCCGTCTAACAACGGTACAATCGCTGAAGCTGGAAGAAAAAGTTGAACAGATTTATTTTTTTCTTCGCAACGAAAACATTCATTTTGCTCAACTATTCTTTTCTTGTATTTGTACGTGCGTTTTACGATAACTTGCATATTCTATAGATCTTCAACTATTCTACGCACACATACAGGAATATGTCGCAAGCAAGTGCTCCTGGCATTCGAGTAACTGCAACTGATCGTGTTGCACTTGTTACTGTTTTTTTTTGAAAAGATTGAGAGTAGCAAAAGTAAATGTTTGTACTGACTTTTGATAAAAGAACATTTTCAAAAAAAAGTCTAGATAGATGGTTGGTCTTAATTTTGTTAACGCTTTCAAATGAGATATATATGAGCTCAATCAGAGAACCATCAGGTGCCGGTTTAATGGCGGGAAGGTTGGTTTTCGCATGGAGCCTCTTTTAGGTGCTCCATTCATCGTCCGACCAAGTTCCTTCATTAGGACACTTTTGAGTGAGATATCTGGCGAGCGAACCTTCTGAGGTGTCAAGCGTCAAATTGAAAAATTCAGCAGTCCAACTACGAAAAGCTGAAGATGTTATCAAATGAGAAACAGGAAGTGTTTCTTATATCTCTCTTTTTTTCCCTACGAAAATGATAAATCATATCCACGGACCTTAACCAGATAGACAGAAATATAGTAACACTTATTTGGCGACATGTGTAACTGACGATAGTGTAAAATCACTTTTCCGAAACAAACGAGTTTTCCTTAAATGAGGAAAACTCGATAACTTAGCAGCATATAAATATAGAAGGCTGAAACTTTCTGTGCATGTAGTGTACATGTAGGACTATTCTGATTTCCATCTATCTAATTAAGGCCTTTGGGTATGATTTTTCGTTTTTCGTATTTCTTACTCTCAATAAATAAACGCAGTATCTTATTGATCTCTTTTTATAAAAATTGTGATGTTGCTTTTTAAACTCTAAGTTTTCCGCTTTATTCTTGATATTCATTAATTTCCTAATATCATCTGCTAAACATTTTGCTAATTCTTGTTCACTAGTTGCATTTGTTTGAAGTCATATTCTGTTTCTTCTTTTATCTCTGGTTCTCCAAAAGATAAACGAAAAAGTGAAATTATTTGATTTAAACTGACGCTTGAGTTTCAGAAAGTTTTTCTTCAATCCTAACCACAAAGTTCATATTAGATACTAGTTCTTTAGAGACTTCAAGTTATAACAACTGAACATCGTTTGAACCTACGGAGCATGTGCTGACTCATATTTAGGCATACACCAATACAGTGTATTGGGTTCCAATAATTTTGGTTACCCAGTCTATTGGGATCAATCATTATTGGTCAGCTAATATATTGGGTTTTCACAATATTCTTAGGTGTTGGGTCACTTGAGTTCGGTCTACTTTTACAGTTCAGACGCATACTTTATATCCCGTTTTGAATCAGAATATAACCCAGTTAGGCATGCACTGATTAATAATCAATATTAGGGCATTCAGAAAAGTCGTTGCAAACCAGTTATGAAAAAGCTCTTAGAGCTGCCGAACACCTCATTTTGTAGGAAAATGTTTGCTCTACCAAACTGAAGTACTACAAAAATTTTAATATTATATATAGAGAAAATACAATAAAGCGAAAACGCACTATAATCATAGAAAAATAATCGACAGTCGCTTTTTTCGCAATTTTCTCAGTTTCGGATGCTTATATTTCTGTCGCAGATAACACTAAAATGTCTTTTTGCACTTCAGTTTGGTAGAGCAAACATTTTTCTACAAAATGAGACCTTCGGCAGCTCTAAGTGCTGTTTTATAACTGATTCGGAACGACTTTGCTGGATGCCCTAACATCGATTATTAATCGATGCATCCCTAATGTCCATCGGGATACGCTTCCTCATTCCTTTATGAAGGTAAACGATATTACGGTTAAAAGTTGGAATCCAGTGTATTGTGAAACCCAATATTATCCAATATTATTGTACAATATTATTGAGTGACCAATATTATTAATCCCAATATAGTCGACCGGCCCTCGTTAGCCCCACTCTAAATTAACATTCAAATACATGAAAATGTTCCCCAGCACCTACTCTATCTGTGGAGCATGTAACTTTTTGTAACTTTTTGTCTAAGTCGAGTTATG